GAGAGAGAGAGAGAGAGAGAGAGAGAGAGAGAGGAGGGCTGTCTTTAATGAAACATGCTTTGGTACATTATGAATATTTATAACGTGTGAATAGTGTATAAATTATATTAAATATATAATATAATCATGGTATTTATTCTCTTTCACTTACCATAATTCTAACCCCATTTACGCCTCCCAAAGCCCGTATGCGCCCAAACAATGTGACATTATTTCTTATGCCCAATACTACCATAAAAGCGGTTTTTGGTTAGAAAAGGAGGTTGGCACTAACTCCCATTTCATTGAACCTTATTTATTTATAAAAATTATATACCAAGGCTGTTTTAAAATAAAATTTATAAATCACATTTGAAATAAAATAACATTTTTAATTAACATCATTAAAATTAAATCATTTTTGTATAAAAATTAATATTAGTATTTAATATGAGATTACAATCAACATCTCGATGTAAGATAATTAATAAAATTCAATTTGTAAAATTACAGTGAATTAAATTAATTATAAAAATCATTAAACATTTAATTAATTTTACGCCAATAATCCTTCGTGTAATTGTCGGCACGGATTTCAATGCCTTTGAGTCTGGGATTTGTGGCCAACAGTTGCGAGTAATCATAAAATATAAGATCACGAGTAATAGAGCGGTAACACCGGATGACAAGCATCTGAAGCGCCGGTAGTCTTGAGATGTGATCCAAACACTCGTGAGTTATACCATAAGCTCTAATGGTTAGGTATTGAAGTCGAGGACACTTTATGTGCACATCTTTCAACACATTTGCTTTCATTTGCCATAAACAGAGCTCTAAATGCATTAATCTCTTGCAGTGTCTCAACGGATCCAATAATAGGTCATCGATTGGTAACGTGACCCTCAATTTGAGTCGCTTTAATCGGCGATAATATGCCAATGAATGCAACGATATCTTCGGTACGGTTGCGGCGGGATTATTTCTGGTCAACTCGAGTGCCATTCGTTTCAATTGTTCACAATTCAGGCCAATCGCGCGCAAAGAGTCGGCCAATACTGACGACTGGCCGACCGTTAACGTCAAACCGAGTGTCAGTTCCCGTAATCGCGGCAATCGTGACAATTGGCCGCACATTTCGGTCAGACCCTCGGTTTGATTGAACCAACAATTCTTTACGACCAGACTCTGGAGCGACTGATTCGCGGCCACGAATGCAGACCAGTGTTGTCTAGAATCGTCGACATAGTCTGTAATGTCCGAAAAGTTGGACAACTCGAATGAACGCAAATGTTTGGCCAGTAGTATACCGGGCGACTCGTCGTTGTGATCGATCTCAAACATGTCCGCAATCTTATAGACCGCAAAATGTGACAATCGGTCGCATTGAGTGAGAGCTTCGCGCATACCATCCGACCGGACGGCACCGATTCGGGTGACCAGTGGTCCAAATGTGGCCAAAGTTTGTTCACTATTTTGCCACAAATCGCAATAAATTTGCCGCAAATGCCGGCAATTGTCTCGAAATGTATGCAACACTTCGGGAATGTGTTCCACATATCTGTCTATTCCTCGACAATCAATGGTCTCAATGTTTGGACACTTTGTGGCGATTGTGACCAACGTTTGTATATTTACTGTACGCATACGTTTGTCATCAATAGTAATGTCGACAACACTCCCGAAGACTGTCCTCCGGAACTGTTTGGACACACATTCGTAACGAAATCGGTCTTCGAATGAGAGATGAGATAATATGAGTGCACACATGTCATCACCGAATCTGTCCATTGAGTTCTTCGGGTAAATCATTGGCTAAAATGTTTACAAAAACAATTAAAACTCAATAATTTGTCAATTGTTTGTGAAATACCTGTTGTGTGTCATTGTCTTCATTGCCGTCATCTGTGGTCTCGAGTGATGCCATCATTTGTATCAACTGTTGTGCCGTATCTATGATATAATATCTTGGGATCAAATGAAGTGATTGTTTGAATGAATTACGTTTTTGTCACAAAAATGTCATAATATTTGCATTCAATGAAAACAAACACAAAGACTGACAACGAGTGAGACATCTATTGACACATATTTTCATTACTTTTTGTATCACTTTTTGCCCACACTTTCAATGAGTGTTTGATTGGGTTTTAAATCATTATTTAATTTCAATAATTATATTTATTTAAATAGAAATGTTTTGTAAAAATTATTTAATATTATAGTCTTTTTAAATGTTATTTTAAGCGTTAATTAATTTAAACAATTGCTGTCAAGTTTTTGTACACTATATAAAATTTATCTTTATTTATGTTACTGTTTTAAAATAAATTCTGATAAAAATTAGTATTAACTAAAATTGATTAATAATTTGTAAATAGAGCATAATGCAAAATTTATTATAATTATAATTAAAATTGTAATTTAATGTTATTCAATTTATATTTATTTCATAATACTTAAAAAGAGATACAAAATTATTGCATTACATACATTTGTGTATTTGATGTAGTCCTTAAAAGTATCATTATATTCAGTTAAATAATTGTTCGCCAATAATTAGCATTTATTTATGAGAATAAAATAAAATATTTTATAAATATTTATAGAATTCCTCCCGAGTTATACAGAATCCCGCCGTCGATCACTAGATTAGCGCCCGTTATATACTGCGCGTCCTTTGAGGCCAAAAACACGGCAGCATTGGCCACATCCAGGGGTTGACCAACTTTTTGCAATGGTATGCGTTTAAACATTTCCTGCTGAAGCATTTTCGTCATCTCGGGATCAGCACCTTCATTAATATTTGTTTCAGTATATCCGGGGCTGAGTATGAGATATATTGTAATCTATGCTATTTTATTTTATTTTAATGGACTAACACAAATTAGCATAAGACCCCGGGTTAAGTTCCCGGTCACAAAACCAGTATTATAGCCGCGGTCGAAACCTATAACGCATCCGCCAACTGTAAAATCGGACAACTAATCATTGATACTTATTAGGATAATGATATCCAATAAATCATGTAACATATTAATATATTGATATATAACGTACATTAATAATGTAATATTATCTGTGTAAATAATTTACTTAAATCAAAATCAAAACAAATTACCGGAACCATTCCAATAACACTTGATATACTGATAACACTGCCATTTGTTGCCTCTAAATAAGGGACCGCCAAATGTGTTAACTTGAGGTAAGGCTTAAGATTAACCTTAATTAAAGTGTCGAACACTTTCATAAAGTTTGAATCCTTTACGGGTGAAAATAGTCCCATCCCTGCATTGTTGACCAACACATCTAATTTACCAAATGTTTTTATAGTTTCATTTAGCAAATTGTTTAAGTCGACGCTTTTGGTCACATCGGCCACAATAGCTAAAGGCTAATAAAATTAATAAATTACAGTAAATCAACACAATTTAATTAGTTTAAAATGTCTAATTTTCTTACCTGGAGTTTTTTAGGTGACAATTGTTGCGCCTCTTGAGCCACACGATTCACTCGATCCGCTTTACGTCCGGTGACCACAACATTGGCCCCGAGAGCCGAGAATAGCTTAACCACAGACTCGCCGATCCCGGAGCTCGAACCCGTCACTAACACTACTTTACCCGTAAAATCGCGTCCATTTCTTGCAGTCATGAATACACTGTTATCGACAGTGTTTTCACAGTAAATAATGCTTGCATTTAAGGCAAACACATATAATAACACAGAAATGTATGAGAAATTCATTATAACTTTCTATTCGTTTTGATGAACAGACTAAACAATAAATGAAAAGTTAAAAATATTATTTTAAAAATTAAAAAGTTATAAGGTTAAAAATTATTTTGTATATCTGTATGAAATGAGATGTTTATTTATACACATCCTGATGCAATCAAGTGTTAGCGATAATAATCTTTGTATTTATTATAAAAAGTTATCTGTAGTTTACATTATACAACTAGGTGCAATCAGTGCAGCTACACTAAAATTGCTTTGCACTAAACCATATTGACAAAATGCTTGCTAGTAATAAAATGTTTTTGTGAAATTCAAATACTTTTTTAATATTTCAATGAAATACATATCAAAGTAAGCCAGGAAAAAGTAAAATATTTATTAAAGGTCGCAAAGTGTACGCACACTAAAAAAGTACTTATACGGTATTAAATTTAATTACAGTGTTTCCCAATTAAAAGTCATATGTTTCCCTCAACTTTGTCCGCTCGCGCCACAACTAAATCCTATTTTCCCAAAATTAAGTCTTGGTTTCAACGCATTCAATGCGTTTCAATGCATACCATGTGTTTCAATGCAAACAATGTTTTCATTTGTTTTGTGATTGTGTAAAGTAGTATTTTAAAAATACCTAAACCGTAGGCACTCATTTACTCAGCAGATAGGTTTTGGTTGATTAATTAATTTTGCTATATTTAATTTTAAATCACTTGACTTGCATAAAAATGCATTTTATTCATTATTTATAGATTAGTATACTGTACAATGTAATAAAAATAATACAAATGACATAAACATTGTTAATCTTATTAATGACATTAATCTAGCATTAGCAAGTAAGCAACATAACACTAAATAATAATGTTAATTTATAATTCAAAATCAAATTTATTTCAAAATATTTTAATGATCAAAATTAATTATAAATTTTAGAATGCTGCAATTAAAACTCATTAATAATGTAGTTAATTTGATAAAATTGACATGGTTGTCATTTGCCCTGCAATATTTTATTTATATGAGTTAGTATAAAAATTATATTGGTAGAAAAACATTTATAAAATAAATTAGACTTATTTTTATATGATAAACGTTAAATTACATTTTAGTTAACAAAACATCTATTTAAATCAACTTAAATATTACCATTCTATCAATGGTTGTTAAGTATTTATGAGATTAATTGTAAAATACATTACAAAATTATTTATAAAATGCCGCCCGAGTTATAAGTAACCCCTCCGTCGACGACTAGATTAGCGCCCGTTATATACTGCGCGTCCTTTGAGGCCAAAAATACCGCAGCATTGGCCACATCCAGGGGCTGACCAGTCATTCCCATTGGTATGCGTTTAAGTATTTGTTGCCGAAACATATCCACAGTTTCCGCATCTAACCCACTGTTTCTGTCAAAGTTGGTTGCGGTCACTCCTGGGCTATAAGTATTCATATAATTAGTTTCGAGAATCAATGCAAAAGTGAGTGTTTATTACTTGATTGCATTCACGCGTATTCTGGGCCCCAATTCCAGGGCCAGTGTTCGGGTCATGATATCGCCGCCAGCTTTCGATATGGCGTAAGCGGTGCTATATTTCATCTGATAAATGAATTTAAACTTATTATAATTGTGAAATAATAATAATATTTAACAATATTGTACTGTTTAACATATAATAATATATTTGATTTCAATTAAGATTATAAATTAATTACCGGAACCATTCCCATGACGGCGGATATACTGATAATAGTGCCGTTTGTTGCTTCTAAATAAGGGACCGCCAAATGGGTTAACCTTAAGTAAGCCCTCAGATTAACCTTAATTAAAGTGTCGAACACTTTCATAAAGTTGGGATCCTTTACGGGTGAAAATATGCCCAATCCTGCGCTGTTGACCAACACATCTAATTTACCAAATGTTTTTATAGTTTGATTTAACAAATTGTTTAAATCTCCGTTTTTGGTCACATCGGCTACAATAGCCAACGGCTAATAAAAAATATATTATTACAAAAAGTTACATAAAATTAAAAATATTAATTTTTAATACTTTAAGTTTTTTGGGCGACAATTGTTGTGCTTCTTGGGCCACACGTTTCACTCGATCCGCATTACGTCCGGTGACCACAACATTGGCCCCGAGAGCCGAGAATAGCTTAACGATTCCCTCCCCGATCCCGGAGCTCGAACCCGTCACTAACACTACTTTACCCGTAAAATCGCGTCCATTTCTTGCGTTTTTAAATACACTGTTATCCACAGTATTTTGGGAATGAATAGTGTTTGCGTTTAATGCAAACACATATAATAACACAGAAATGTATGAGAAATACATAATATGTTCTCTATCTTATGTTATGAACGGATAGGCACTAGATCAAAAACTTTAAATTGAGTTTTGTGTTCTTGTATAAGAATAACGTCTTTTTATATACGAATATCAGTTATATTTTAACGATAGTACACTTACACTAAAAGTAATAATATTTATATCCTAATCGTTTACATCGAAACAGGTATTTATTCACTATAATAACCGGTCACTTAAAGGTTAAGAATCTTGGTGCAAATATTTTAGTTCGACTTCACTTTGTTAGTAATTGAGTTATTCGTAAATTATTTTTTATAATAATAATATTCCTATACACTACATTGTATTTTGTTATTATTTAATTTTTCTCAATGAATATTGAATAGCATTTGTAAAATTCAAATGCTAATATATTTATATAATTTAGTTGTTTAGTATGTTTATTTTATTTTCTTATTGATTTTATGAATTATAATATACTTACAAATTGTATCAATATTATACAAAACATACATTGCATGAAATGAATTTATCACATGGTTTGAGTTTAACTTTCATATAATCCCTTTATCACAAGTTATTTAAACTTTGTAACACTTTTGGTATTTATTTAATATTTCATTAAAATTTTTAAAGAAAAAGCGATGATTATAGAAGTTTTTCGTGATAAAAGTGCATTTTCGGGACTATTAAAAAATATAATAATAGACTTTTTGGGAGTGTTCTCAAAATATGCACAAAATCGGGAAATATCAAAAATATAAAATCTATATTTATTAAGCCCAACTGTATATACAGTGTAAGCCTATAAATCTAACCGTATGTAATTCCCGATGTTTTTATTCACTAATTTTATTCGGGAGTTCCCGATAACTAGAAATTTTTAATAATAACTGTTTAGAAAATTTAATTTAATAATGGTTTTATTTTGTTTAGTTATAAAGAAGTATAATACACATAAATATATTGTCAATTATAAATCGTAGAATTCTGCATTTAAAACTCATTAAAATTAATTATGTAACTAATTTGATCTAACATGGTTGTCATTTGATTTGCAATATTTCATTTATTAAAATGAGCACAAAGTAAAATGTAAAAGTTTATGTTAATTTTAATAAAATCAGATTTATTTTACATATTAAACATTAAATTACTTTGTAGTCTACAAAATATCTATTTAAAACCATTCAAAAATACAGCTACTAATTATACTGCTTCAAAAATATTACAATTAATTATCAAATATTTATGAGATTTATTGCATGATATTTTGCAAATGTATTTAGGCCTATTTATAAAAGGCCTCCACCGTTATAAGTAGCCCCGCCGTCGACCACTAGATTAGCGCCCGTTATATACTGCGCGTCCTTTGAGGCCAAAAAGGCCGCAGCATTGGCCACATCCAGGGGCTGACCGATCCGTCCCATCGGTACGCGTTTAATATATTGCTTTTGAAACATTTCCACACTCTCCGCGTCTAACCCGATGTTGCCGTTGCGGTCAAAGTTGGTTGAGGTCGCTCCGGGGCTATGAGTATCAATATAATTATTAGTTTCTAGAGTCTAGATGCAAAAGTGAGATGTATATTACTTGATTGAATTCACGCGTATTCTGGGCCCTAATTCCAGGGCCAGTGTTCGGGTCATAATATCTCCGCCAGCTTTTGATATGGCGTAAGCGGTGCTATATTTAAACTAGCAAATAAATTTATACTCATTATAATTGAAAAATAATAATAATTTATAACAACGTTATACTGTTTAATATGTAATAATTACCGGAACCATTCCTATGACGGCGGATATACTGATAACAGTGCCATTCGTTGCCTCTAAATAAGGAACCGCCAAATGGGTTAACTTTAAGTAAGCCCTGAGATTAACCTTAATTAAAGTGTCGAACACTTTCATAAAGTTGGGATCCTTTACGGGTGAAAATATGCCCAATCCTGCGCTGTTGACCAACACATCTAATTTCCCAAATGTTTTTATTGTTTGATTTAACAAATTGTTTAAATCGCCGTTTTTGGTCACATCGGCCACAATAGCCAACGGCTAATAAAAAATTAAATAATTACAATAAATATAACTTACAATTTGTTTAAAAATATTAATATTAAATACCTTGAGTTTTTTGGGTGATAACTGTTGAGCTTCTTGAGCCACACGTTTCACTTGATCCGACTTACGTCCGGTGACCACAACATTGGCCCCGAGAGCCGAGAATAGCTTAACCACAGACTCGCCGATCCCGGAGCTCGAACCCGTCACTAACACTACTTTACCCGTAAAATCGCGTCCATTTCTTGCATTCTTGAATACACTGTTATCCGCAGTATTTTGGGAGTGAATAGTGTTTGCGTTTAATGCAAACACATATAATAACACAGAAATGTATGAGAAATACATTATAATTTTTCTATAAATTTGGTTATGAACAGAATAGTCACTAGATCAAAAACTTTAATTTGCGGTAAGATGTAAGATAAAAGTCTTTTATATACTAATATCATTTATATTTTAACGATAGTACACTTCCACTACATAGTATAGTATCTTACACTATAGATAATATTATTTATATCCTAATCGTTTACATTAAAACAGGTATTTTATCACTATAATAACCGGTCACTTGAAGGTTATGAATCTTGGTGCAACTATTTTAGTTTGGATTCACTTTGTTAGTAATTAAGTTATTGATACAGTGCAACTTCTCTATAATGAACGGCCAGTTGCACGACAAAAGTGTTCATTATAGGGA